CGCCTCCCTTGGGCGGCCCTCTGCCGCGGGCACCCGCCCATCCACAGCCCGCACGCCACTGACCGGAGCCCCTGTCTTTCGTGCCAGATCTCGTGTCGCTGCCGACCACGATCGGGCGGTCGACCTCGCGCCATGTTCGGCTCCTGTCGCCTGGCATCAGTAACAGCCACGCGGAAATCTCGCCCCTGGTGCGTGGGTCGGTGCATGCGCGCACACATGCTTCGCTGCCGGCTGCCCATGTGCAGGACACTCACCCCTTGGCCGCGCCCTGCTCCCCCCCCCCCTCTCTCCGGTCACAGTCGACCAGCACGGTGCTCGTGCATGACCTGTCCAAGAATGGCACCTACCTGCGTGGCCGCATCATCGGGTACAGCCGCGCGGCGGTGGCCTTCCACGGGGACACCATCTCCTTCGGGATGTCGCCGGCGGCGGCGGCCAGTCGCGCGGCAGCGGCGGCCGCGGCATCGGCCGGCCACGCGGATGGCCCCAACGCCGGCGCCACCCCGGCCGCGCCGGCCCAAGCCACGGACTTTGTGCTGCACCTGAACTTCGAGGGGCTGGCGTCGGTGTTTGCCAATTCGGCGGCCGGCGCCTCGGCCACCGGGGCCGTCTCCCCCGACCTGGCCCCGGCGTCCGACTCCTCGCTCGACATGCGGAAGTTCTTCCACTTCTATGAGCCCGTCAAGCACCTTGGCTCGTATGTTGTGATGGCCCCCCACTCTCGCCCCCCCCCCCCCCCCTCCCGCTTTCCTGCCGCGTGCCGCGTGTCTTCTCCATCCCTCCCTTGCCCCTCCTTGCGGGAAGCTGTCTGACCGATCGCCCGGCCCCCCTCTCCCCCCCCCCCCTCCCGGGATCGCATCGCCGCAGCGGTCACTTCGCCGATGTCTTCCTGGCCACGCATCGGCTGTCTGGCCGCCAGGTGGCCGTCAAGGCCATCAGTCTGAAGCCGGACCTGTCGGCGTCCATCTGTAACTTCATCACCGGCGGCCGTGAGCGCCCGGTCCTGGGCCGGTCGCTGTCGGACGCCTCGCCGTGCGTGGTCCTGCCGTCGAAGGTGGCACGCGAGCTGTCGGTTCTGGCCCGGCTTTCGCACCCGGGGCTCATCCGGACGTTGGATTTCTTCGTGGAGCCGCCGAGCTCCACTCGGCGTGAGTTGCTGGAATTCCTCGGGGTTCGGCGGGGGGCCGGCGGTCCGGCCGCCAGCGATCCGGCCGTCGCCGACGTCACCGGGACCCTGTATCTGGTGATGGAATATGCCCCTGGCGGGGAGCTGTACCGGTGGATCACGGCCAAGAATGAGCGCCGCGCGGCCGGGGCCCCGCAGTTCCCGGAGGCCGCGCCGCGAGTGCTCTTCCGTCAGCTGCTGGAGGCGGTGGTGGTGCGTGCTCTCGGCGGTCGGTCCGGGTCTTCTGCTGAGATCCATGTGCATGGTCCTGCACAGCCATCTCCCTGCCCCCTTCTCATGCGCATATTTCCTTTGTCCCTCCTTCTCGCGCACATGTACACGTGCTCCGCCACGCCCGTTCGTGCCTTTCCATGTACACGCGCGTACTTACGTCTATGGACATGCTTGCACCTGCACGCGCATGCGCACATATGCATGCATAC